TCCCCTGTTATACAGCCGCTTGGCTCCTCCGCCACCACCTGCTGCAGCCCCAGGAACCCCTCACCTTCTCAGCAAGACCCCACCAGGAGCCCTTTTGGGGGCACCACCTCCGCTTGTGCCCGCCCCCCGGCCCAGTTCCCCGCCTAGGGCCCCTGGCCCAGCCCGGGCTGACAGGTGAGGAAAGGTGAGGGGCAGGGGCAAAGCTCCATCCCCGCTTTCCTTTGACAAGGTCCTAGGGCTAAGGTTTGAAGGCAGGGGCTGAAGGGCAAAGGTCATGACCTCACCAGCCACCTGAGGTCATGGAACCTGGCAGCAGAAGCCCCAACCCCCGTGAGATCCAGCATCACATGGATCATGGGGTCACTGGGATGGCAGAGGTCACAAGCCTCTAGGGAGGGAGAGAGAGGTGTGTGTGTGTGTGTGTGTACATGAGAGGGGGATCATTTCAGAGGTCACAGCTCATGATCTCTGAGGTGCATCATCACCCCCTCCAAGGGCCTCTAGGCCATTGGCCTGCCTCCCCAAGGGCTCACTAAGCCAGAGGCCAAAGTGCCCCCCTCCCCTTCACCTACCACCCAAGTCCTCATGCCCTCCTAGGGCTGGGGGAAGAGGGGCTAAAGGAAGGGGGGTTCCATGTACATATTTATCACCCCTTCCACATAGCCCCCCAGACCTTTTGTACATTTTTACAGGGGTGTCCCAACAGTCCCCTTCCTGGTTAATTAAATCCTCAGACTGGTGCTGTGTTCCTAGCCTCTGGCCTCTCTGTGGGGGGAGGGAGGATTGCAGGGGGAAGAGCTGGGAAGGGATAAGCAGGAACCCAGGGCTTCTCCCTGGGAATGTAGGGTCTAGTAGGAGGTGGACCAACAGGGTAAGGGACCTGGGGCCATAGGCTGGAGGGAAGGACAAATACTTCCTGCTTGGCTGACAGCCCAGGTCATCCCCCCAACTTGTTGGTGTTAACTCTGCACTCCCACCCCAAAAGGTTCAAACTCTAAGCCTCAGACTCCACCTCTTAATGGTTCAGTCACCCCCCCCCACCCCATTTCCAAGTGCCCCCAGGATTCCTGGGCCGTGCTCCCCAGAACCCTGTTCTCCAGAACCCTGCAGGCTAAGAGGGGGCCAGAGAAGGTCACCATGTACCACACACCAAAGAAGGGGTCAGCCCAGGGGTGGGCGACACAGGCAGCTTCTTAAGCAGCCTCCTGGCAGCAGCCCCAGCTTCCCAAAGCAGCAGGCGCCTCCAGGCTGGGGCCTGACCTAGAGGGCGGGGGTCAGTTTAACAAAACCATAACGTTGACTTTTTTCCCCGGTGGGGCTTATTCTGTAACATGACTTGCGGATATTTATATAAAAATGAGTGTTACAATGAGGTCCCCTGGCTCCTCTTTCAGTGTGTTGTGGTTCACCTGGGGTGATTGGGCTGGATCCTGGGGTGGGGAGGGATGAGAGCAATACTGTCTGTGTCCCAATGGGGTCTTCCCCTTCCTACCACCCAGGACAGTTGTTCTGCTACTTTGGATGGTTGGGTTAGAGTGTGGGCACTGATGTTTCTCACGTTATTTTTCTACAACCCAGTGTAAAGCTAGGTGACCACGCTACTTGTCGCTGCTCTTTTACCTGCTGGTAATCCTGCACTGACTGGGCCGATGGCTGAGCTAGGCCTGGGTCTGGAGCTCCCAGACTCCTCAAGCCCATTCACAGACTGGGTCACAAGCCCTTCACATGCCAGGCTGGGTCACCAGACCCCTTCACGCAGGTCTATGAGCTAGGTAACCAGCCACACCATCCTGGGAAGCTGCAGGTCTGGAAAAACATGGCCATGCAGGGCAGGCGCACGAGGCAGTAAAAACCAGCCAAAGTGGCGCCGCCTTGCAGGCGCACTTACTCCACCCCCACACACGTTTCTGAACTACCCTCAACCTGCTTGGAGGTGAGGGGAGCCTGACCAAATTGTTCTATTTTCCCAACAATCCACCCCTTCAGGGTCCCTCGCCATACAATCTACATGTCCAGAATCTTCCGCAATGTTCCCTTAGCCAGGATAAATGACCCTTACATTTACATAACCTATTGTCTGTTCATTATGCCTCTGTCCTTTTAACTGTCAGCTGCATATGTCCAGTTAGTCACCATTGGTGTGATCCTCCATGTAAATCCTGCAGTCATACTGATGGGCAGTTCAATGCACGTTCAGCAGGCCAATACATCAATCACGTGACTCTGGTGCCGTGCCTGCAGCCAGAACACTATGGGCGAAAAGATAGAAGAGTTATTGGTACCAATAGGGGAAGTTCTCACCCCTCTAGTAAGATACATGCCAGTTTGCCACCCTGAGAAAGGATGGTTGCAGGAGTAGGTATCTTACCTGGCTTATGACACCATACTTTATCTGCTAACACTGTTGGATCTGTAGGTTCTACATATAACAGTATAGGGGAACTCATAATTGGCCATAATGATAATACAAATGTGCCCTTTGGAATAGAGTGCTTATCTGTTCCAGGCCATGTCACCTTTACTCGAGGAGGCCAGGTACTTGTCACCCAAGGTGAAACTAGCAAGCCTTCCTCTAGGGCCTTCCTCAAGACCCTATTAAACCTACTCAGCGTATATGGGGGGCTTTTATTCTCCAAGGCCATTCCCTGTACTGTCTGTCCCTGTTGCAATCAGGTTGGGGCCAGTAAGAGAATATTTCCATTCTTGCCATATCCTGGCTTCAAAAGCTTATCTTTAGTAGTGATTTGCAGCTGTATAGGTGCTGCAGCCCTATGCAACAGAGCTTCCACCAGAGAGGGTCCGCCCTTGCGGGGTATCTCATTTAGAATTCTGACTGTTGGCCATAATCGCCGTGCCCACCCCTTCAATGATGGGGTTTGGGCAGATAGCCTTAGTCCCTTTTTTAAAAGGCCATTGTACCGTTCAATCATTCCCACCGCCTGGGGATGATATGGCACATGTAACTTCCACTGAATGGACAACTGGGAGGCCCACCTCTGAAACTCGTATCCAGTAAAGTGGGTTCCATTATCACTCTCAAACTACAGGCTGGCCATACATAGCAGTAAGGCTATTCAGTGCCTTCACAGTGTTTACCTGGTCTGGGGCCTTACAAGGCCATACAAACAAAAGACTAGTAGCTGTATCAACAGCTGTGAAGATATATCTGAAATTCTCTGACCTTGGCAGTGGTCCGACAAAGTCCACTTGCCATTGAGTCAGGGGCATCCTTCCTCGAGTTATTTGCCCATCTGTATGGGGCACCCACCAGGGGTGTGGGTTCTCTTGAGCACACGCTGGACAAGCATGACAAGTATTCACTACATCTTCCCATTTTATAGGCAAGGCTCATCTTTGAGCTGCCGTCCACTTGGTTTTACTGCCAGCATGCTGCATTCGTCGATGTAACCACTGAGCTACATCAGTAGCTGGGGCTCTCTCCAGCCATCTTACCTTTGCCAAGGCATCGGTTTCATCATTTCCTGGACTAGCTAAGGGGAAGTGTCCTGTGACATGGAAAAGAGTTACTTCTTTCTCATGCCCCAATTCCCATAACTCTTACCACATGACTTGTCCCCACAGGGGTCGGTGGCCTACCACCCACCATTGATAATTCCAAATAGAAACCCAAAGGATTAAACCTTTGTATACAGCCCAGCTGTCAGTACAGATGGTTAATGGCCCAGGCTCATTTTTCATTACCATTCATACTGGTCTCAATTCAGCCCATTGACTGCTTTGTCCTGTGCCATTTTCATACCACATGGTATCTGTTAAGAGCTGGACAGCAATAGCTGTCCATGATGCTGAAGTTCCCATGCTAGAGCCATCTGTATACCAAGCTTGCTCTGTGATAGGTCCCTGTCCCTCATGGAATGGTGCAGCTTCCACCTCCATGAGTAGCGGTTGTGTCAAAGTTTCCTCCATAACCTCTACTGGGCCTAGCACAGTTTGCAACTCTTTGGACAGAGGACTCATTGACACAGTGCTCCTTTGTTCTATATATGCTCCCCATTTAGACAAAGTGGGAGTCTGAGCTACACCCATTTTAGGGTTGGTTGCCCACATGCACAGCCAACATATTATGGGGTATGTCATTCTTACTCGGACTTTGGCAGTTCCTGTGATAGCTTCAGTGCTATCAAGGCAGAATACACAGCTGCTAACTGCTTTTCTATTAGGTTGTAGCACACTTCAGCACCCTTCCAGAGCTGAGACCAGAATCCTACAGGTGTATAGAATCGCTCTTGTCTCTGCCACAAACCCCATCCTAACCCCTCCTGGGTTATATGTATGTCTAACTCAAATGGCTTAGTGGGGTCGGCCACTTGTAAAGCTTGTGCTTGCTGTATTGCTCTTTTTGTAGCCCAATAAGCTTGTTCTACTTCCTCATTCCAATCCCAGAGGGCTCCTTTCTTTGTCAATGCATATAGTGGGCATGCCATTTGGGCAATATGGGGTACAAAAGCTCTCCAATACCCCAAAAGTCCCAAATATGTCTATAGCTGAGCTACCACTGTGGGTCGAGGGTATGCCTGTATCTTATCTATCAGCTTTTTTTTTTTTTTTTTTTTTAAAGATGACCGGTAAGGGGATATTAACCCTTGATTTGGTGTTGTCAGCACCACACTCACCCAGTGAGCGAACCGGCCATCCCTATATGGGATCCGAACCCGGGGCCTTGGTGTTATCAGCACCGCACTCTCCCGAGTGAGCCACGGGCTGGCCCCTGTATCTTATCTATAATAGCTTCTGGGATGATCCTTGTCTTACCCGACCAGACCACTCCCAGGAATTTGACTGACAGCCCAGGTCCTTGCACTTTGGCTGTGTTCATGGACCACCCACATTGTTCCAAATGACTTAGCAGCATTGGAGCTGCCTGGGTTATATCTGCAAGAGAATCAGAAGTTAGTAACACATCATCAATGTAGTGAAACATTGTAACCATGCTGGGCCTAGTCCACTTGGCTAGGTCCCCAGCCACCAAACCATGACAGATGGTTGGGCTGTGCAGATAACCTTGGGGCAATACTTGAAAGGTCCACTGTCTTCTTTCCCACATGAAGGCAAACTGATTGATCTTGGCTATCAGCTGAGATTGGAATGGAGAAAAAAGCATTTGCAAGCTCCAGTACATAATGATA